CTTTGTGTTGTCTATACCTAGAGATCTGATTCCCCAGCCCCCTCTATCCCTCTCCACTGTGAAACATGTGTTTCCATCAATCTATGGAAAACAAGATCCCCTATAGCTTCAGTCTCCTCACCAAACCATCCTTCCACCTTCTGCTAAGCCTTCTCTAAGGTTTATGACAATCCTTGAACACATTCATGAAGGACCCTAAACCCTGCCTTGAATTTATCATAACCTTTAGTATTTGACCATGTCCCCTAGCAAGTTCCAATGTGATTTGGGGTTATGAATCCAACACTTCTCTCCTTCTGTCTAGACCTCAATTCTGGCCTACCTCAACCATCAAGCTCAGGACCACAGTGTGGACCTTTCTTTCCCCCCATTCCACAGTCTTGTGCCACAACAGCATCAATCAATACATTTGTTTACTTAACAAATATTTACTGACCAGCATCGATATGCTCAATACCCATGATGGCCACCAGGGCTTTAAGTGTGAACAAGCCAAACAAAAATCTCTTTTCTCACAGCACTATCATTTAGCAGAAGACAATGAGAAGTAATTTAAAAAGTAGTGATGAAAGCTGAGAAAGGGAAGTATGGAAGACTAGCTACAGAAGCATGTGGTAGAGGCCACTGAGTTTTGAGATTAAGGAAGGAGCATCCTCTCCTGCCAGAATTTTCTTTCCTTTATTTCCATCTTGTCTGTACTGTAACCTTATAGATGCAGGACCCCTGACATCCTTATCTTCTCTCAATTTGTTATCCCTTACTTTCACTTTTTTTAAGGTATTTATCCCAGGAGGATACATGAATAATTATTTTAAACTCTTTTCTTACTGATAGCCTCAAGTCTCTTACTTCCATATTCTTTCATGCCTTACCTAGAAAATCCTTAACCCTGGATCAAGATAAACATCTTTTGATCTGGGCAGCAAAACCCTTGTAGAGAAAAATTGCTCTATGATAAAGGCTCCATATTCATAGTTCTACCTTTATTTGGACTCTGGCTTTATTGCCAACCTTCCTTTATGTTCTAAGTAGTCTCAGGCTTCCCAAGTCCTTGTGGCATCTACTTCAATCTTCTCCATCTCTTCCAGTTCATAAGCCTATCAACTATGCTCATTTGGAGTTGCTTCAGAGGAAATGAAAGAAGCCATGGTTTATTCAAGCATTCATCCATCCATCTAACAAATATCTAAGTGCTGAACATGCACCAGATACTTTTTCAGGTATTGAGAATACAAATTAACAAAACAAGACAAATCTCTGCCATCAAAGCTCATATTTTGGTGGGGATGAAACAATAAACCTATACACAAGTAAATGATACAGTTAGCAAAAGGCTGTGTTATGGGGGGAGGGTATTTAGCATTAGAGAGACTGGAAGCCTACAGTGAGACTCTTGCAACACTGCGTAGGGTGCTTGGGGTGGGGGGATACCTCACAGAGAAGGTGAGATGACAGCAGACTGGAAGGTGGTGAAGGGGTCAGGCAAGTATACAGAGAGGTGCAGAAGGATTGACAGTGCAAAGGTCCTGATTGGGAGCCTGTCTGGAATGTTGAGGGAATAGTGGAAAGCAGGCAATAGGCCTGATGACGCTCGTAGCCATTGCAAGGGCTCAGCATTAACTCAGACACATTGGAGCTACTGGAGGGTTTGAGCAGAGGAAGCAGGTAGGAATTCCCTTAGCCTATTAACTCCTCCCCTACTTCATACTCAACCGCATTAATTCCCCTTCCATTGTTCCTGATGTTTGGGGGGGGGGGGAGTTATTCCTTTTCAAAGGGAATCCACTTCTGTTTTGGATTTAAGCCACTGCTGTCCCAGCAGGGCCCTCTCTGCAGCAATTTTCCCCATTTTGCCTATACCTTTAACCCCCTACCTCTATAAAGTTTGTGTCAGCAGCAAAAAACACTCTGATCTAAATGCCACCCTCAACCCTATCTCCCACTTTCTAACGGACTATTTTCTCCTTTTATTGCTTATGTACTTGAACGACATTTTTCTCCTCCCTGTCTCCACTTCCTCCCCTTATTGGTTAAATCATCCACTTACTCACTAAATTTTAGGAGCACATATATCTGCTAGGACCTGTGTTGGAGAAATGGGGCAAGTTGGCATTAGGGGAAGTAAAGTACCACTCACTGAAACTGCTGTAGGCTAAATCCACTGAGGTTTCTCATTTATATTTTATATTGGCATAACTTCACACTACAGAATAGTTGCAAAAATAGAAAATCTTCTTCTCCAAGAAAATCTTGACCACAATTCCCTAAATGTAACATCTTATTATACTAGCTTTATCCTCTATTCTTTCTCCCCTGCATATGTGTGCATGTATACGCATATAGCTCATGCTTCTTAGAGCTGCAGATATGATATCCCTTTATTCGGTGTATATTTCTTAAGAACAAGGAATTCCTTTACCACAGGTTTTCAATATCAGGAAAAATAGCAAAGCAATACTATTATCTGTAGATACTTATAAAAACGTATCTCATTTCAGTATGTGACTTTAAACTTGCATTTTAAAATTACTACTTTCTGAAAGTACGCATGTTACACAAATATACTGCAGAATATTTTTGAAAAAAAAAAACCCGAATGAATATAATTCAAATTATTTTCCATCATCTGGAGAAAGCCGCCATTAATTTTTATACACATATACAAAGACACAGATACATACATATAAATGTTTAAAAACACAGATTATACTGAGCATATGACCTTTTGTAACCTGCTTTTCACTTAATATATTTAACATCTGCTCATGCCATTAAGTTTTTTTCCAAACTATCTTTAATAGCTACATACAAATCTGTCATGTAGACAGTGCTTCCTTGAAATTCTTCCTGCCTTCACTTTCAACTCAACTCTCTTCTTTTCCAGTTGAAAACCTGTGTTTTCATATCATCCTTGCCCATCACTCTATACTGGTCTCCCTCCCCTGCAGTCTGTCTTCAACTCTGTTATAGCCACTAGCTTTAACTCCCTGCACACTTCCAAAATTTCCAATCCGTATCATTCCTGAGCTTCAACATCTTCAAGTGGATAATACCTCCCATTCAACATGCCTTTCTCTCTCAATCATGCTATTCTTGCATTCCATCACCCTAACCTGTTTTTCTGCCTCATTTATCCCCTATATTCATTGGTTACTATGCCATGAATTCAACTTCGCAAATACATCTTAATCCACCATCTTTCCCTAACATCACCAGCACTTTATCTCAGGTCTTCAGTATTTTTGGTCCAAATTAACAAAAAGACCGTATCTGCTCTCTCTCCTTCAGTGCTCCAGCCCCTCTCCCCTCCTACTACTACAGTCAGGATTCTGTATGTGAATATGATCAAGAAACCCCCGTCCTAGGATGCCTCCCACTGTGCTCAGGATACAATGCAAACATTACATGGTACACAAATGCCTCTTTAGACTATCCTGACCTTGTCCAGGATGCCTATCACTGCTCACACTGTATACACCAGGAATGTTGAACCACTGGCAGTTCCAAATTCCATGCCTCTGTGTCTTGGTCTCCTCCCATGGAATGTTCCATCTGTCCAGCTCCCTCTCCCAGACCTATGTGTACTTTATTCCTATTTAGTATTTAAGGCTGATTGCAGGCATCTCCTCCAGGAAACCTTTCCTGACCACCCCATCCCAACCCAGTCCATGTTGGGTCCCTTCCTGGGTATTTTGGGATCCTTGACCTTCCCTCTGGAAATATCAAACTGTATGTAATGTGACAGTCTGGTCATTTATTCACCTTACCAACCCTCAAACCAGGGCCATCCTCATATACCTATGAATCCCTAAGAGCACCAAGCACATTTTCTGGCATAAGTCGAATTCTAGTAAGTGTTTTATAAAAGAACTCAAGGATGTAATAGCCTTTTATTATTTACTTATTCTTTCCATCTGGTATCATTAGTATAAAAGTTACGCATTTGTATTTTATGTTATATTTATGCATGATTCCCTTTGTGTTATGTATTAAATAAATGATCTTGAAAGCTACAGTATGTCAATCACAAACTTATATAAGTATAGCATGTCCATTTAAGAGGTTGGATAAACACAGCAGGTAATAAAAAAGAGTTAGAAAACTTAAGAATTGCATCTGATAAACATAATTCTTTTGTTGAAATAGTCCAAGCTGAGGAATATGGCAAATATATAATCACAATCTCATGGTTACTTTATTACAACAATGACTTTCTTATCAGTAATTTCATTAGCAAAGATATGAAACTTGGATATTTTGTTTGCTGGAGGCAGACTTTGTTAATGTGAAAGAGATTAAAACTAACTTAAGGACTTAAAATTGCTTTATAAAGTCTAACTTAGGTCTACAGTTGACATGACAGTTCCCTAGGAGGATGGTTTGGTAAGTCCGCTTAAAGAGTATGAGAAGCCAAATCCTGCCTACCCAAATTTGTTTACATTTTTTAAAGATTTTATTTATTTAATGAGAGACGCAGAGAAAGAGAGAGAGAGAGAGAGAGAGAGAGAGAGAGAGAGAGAGAGAGAGAGAGGCAGAGACACAGGCAGAGGGAAAAGCAGGTTCCATACAGGGAGCCGGATGTAGGACTCAATCCCAGGACTCCAGGATCACACCCTGGGCCGAAGACAGACGCTCAACCACTGAGCCACCCAGGGATCCCCCCTAAATTTGTTTAATTGGAAAAGAAATCACACAGATGAGAGAAATAGGGTAAGAGTCATTAACATAAGAAGACAATGACAATTTAGTAGAAAAAAAAGAAAAACAAAAACCTCTTGATTTAATCTCCTTTATAGGCTATCAAGATTTCTAGCAAACACTGGATAAAAACAACATAATTGCAGGTATAGGACTCTGAGTAAAGCTATATTACATTTATATAATACATACATACATGCGTATACTCACATACATATACACTTAGATATATACTTTCATATATAAATAAACTAAGAAAAACTGTTTTGTATTAATGTGAAAAGCTAATATTTATTCCTTACCTGAACCTGAGAAATTGTCTAAAGACCCGTCTGCTGTTGTTGAAACTATTTCACTGCTGCTCATTGGCTCTGTTTTAACTACAAAAATAAACAACATATATGATATATCCAATTAATAGTTATTTGTAAAGGCATGGTAAATAAGTTATAATATTTAAAATAGTTACAATAAAATCACTTTAAAGACTATTAGTATTTGAATATAATTCAGATATTTGTAATTTAAAAAAAACCACACATTAACTATTTCCTCCCTAGTTAACCTACTGTAACAAGCTATCCTTGAAACACTTTAGTAGTTAAATTCCTTATCTTACATATTAATTGAATTGCTTATTAACAAATAATTTATCTCTCAAAATTTTTATGATGAAGATGTAAGAGTATTTCCTTGGGTTTGTAGCTATTTAGCTAAACAGAACCAAAAGGGTAGAATAAAAAGACTTGGAATAGGAAATAATGCTGGTAGGTTTTCATTATGCTCAAGGACAGACTCAGGTACACACATGCACACATGGGTGCACACACACTCACACTCTTATTTATCTAACATGGCTGAAAAATAGAGTGCTCGATTTAATGGGTCTTTATTAACACTCAGCCATATCTGGCTGCCAATATGTCAATATCTGATGTACACTTAGTACCAAAACCACACTAAATATAAACGAAGCAGAAATTAAGTTTTTCATTCCCAAATAAAACCAATATCAGACAGTTTGTAGGAAACTTATGATCTTTAGTAAAGTCGTTTGTGGCTATACAATAAAAACATTTAGATTTATGCTGTAGGTTCACAAAAGGACCACTCTACTGACCTGATGATATAATTGAACCCTATTAAGCAAATATACTAGACCACCTCAGAACATTTGCCTTTTTTCCTAAGATTTAGTTGTTTTTTTTCTTTTTAATGAAGAGATAGCATTATTGCTTTCCTTAGAAATGGCAGATGAAGTGCCATCATTGGAATTTGTGGTCTTCTTTGTAGAAGTTATATATCCTCACTAATGGGTTTTTAGAAACAATGCAATAATATCTTGGAGGCTACTTAAAAATCACTAACATGTTTTCCAAAACAAAGGTCCTACAAAGAGAATATCTGGGGCAGCTTCTCTCAAAAGTAAATACATTCTGAAATGGGAAAGAATGATGGAGGAAATGCAGCTTTTCCTTCTTTCAAAATTGCCTCTTATAAACAACAGGCAAAGAACAAATTCCCTCTCCTTAACCTTTGAATCTTTTACTAATGCATAATAAGTAGTTTTCAAATAGACATTATAAATAGTTGCAGCAGATAGTCACTTCCAAAAAATTAATTATTTAGACTGCTTCTAAACAAAGTTGAAAAATAAAACCAGTGAGTCTAAAGGGAATCACTCCAACTGATTATTTTAATGTAGACCAAACAATAGTGTAACTGAAGTTTTCACTTTTCCACCAGTTGTTTGGGGTTAGCAGTCTCAGTTGATGCTAATAAATTCTGACATAAGCCTGTATTTCCCTTTTCTCTTTACACCTGCAGGTCTTGCTCTTCATAACCATTATTCTGCCATAGATTGTGGAAAGCATATCCTCCTCTGCTGGTTCACAGCTCCAAAGTATCCTACCTGTTGTCCACATCTTCTTTTTCCTTCCTGAAAGAACTCATACAATGCCCTGTACCTATAAAGCAATACCTCTATTTTACTCTGTACTGAACAGATTACCACAGGGATTTGAACTCATAATCAAATACAATATACTGATCAAAGATGAGAATCAGGCCCAAGGGGAATAGGTCATGTAAAGTACCTAGTATTGTCAGACTAGAAACATTATGATTAATCAGATATTAAACAGACATTAATCCTTTTAAACAATTCTCTAAGTTAGTCTCAGAGCACAACTCACAAACTCCCTAACTGGGGACAGTCTTCTTGTTTTACATGCAAAAATGAAAACCAAGGGATTAGGAAATTGCCCAAAGTCACAAGTGGCAGAAAATGGGAATTAATTTTGGATGTTTTCAATTTCAAGGCTTGAAGAAATGACAGTATTTGGCAATTCCCAATAATTAGCACTACTCTACAACAGAGCAAAGAAAATGAGGCACAGAGCCACACACTGTGGATATAGAGGGAACTAAAACTCCATCAGTCCAGATTCTCCTAGTGTTAACACTTCAGGCTAAGGCACTCACAGGAAGATCTCAAGTAGAAGTCCCTATCCACCTGCCTGAGAAAACGGTGAAGAAGAAAGTTTCCAGTGTACAAGATGTTAGCCCAGATTACTTTTAAGTCTTTGCCAAATCTAAGATCTATGATTCTGTATATTGGACTATAAAATTACTTGATGAAAGCTAGACTATGCCAAAAACCACTCCTACTCTGGTACCTCTAAGACTTAGCCTAGCTAATTCTCCATATTACTAACTTGACCGAATATAGCTTTCACTCTCAGGAGACACATTCAATTATACTTGAAATTCCATTAAAAATAGGAGGGAAAGGAAGAGGATACTTTTTCTTTTAGGTCCCAAGTACATTGCCTTTTGCCATTGTTCAAATATGCCCATCTATAAGGAATAAAGATTCTCTTTTCCTAATGAATCCAGTATTTTAAAAGGCTCACTATTGAAGAGGATGTACGTAAAGTAACTAGCAGGATATTCATGATTTTATCAGGTACTGGAATTGAATACTTTGATCAGCAGGGACCTGATGCTAAAGAGATTGGAGATTTATTGTGATTTAAAGTAGTTTGAGTGAAAGCCAAATGAGAGACCACTTCCAGTTGGAAGTGTCATTGCCATGCACAGACCCACCAGAAAGTTAGAAAGACTAATCTCCAGCCATCAAACTACCCATCCTCACTAGCACTATCACATTTATAAATATGCCATAGATGGTATAATAGAGCCTCTCCAAGGCTTTGAGTTTAAAACATCACATCCCCCCCACCCCCAAAAAAAAAATAAAATAAAAAAAATCACATCCCGAGTTTTTTGTTTTCCCCCAGTCTTTTCAGAAGCAAGCTCCATGCAGAGAACGCGATATGGGACTCGGTCCTGGTACTCCAGGATCATGCCCTGGGTCAAAGGCAGATGCTCAACCACTGAGCCACCCAGACGTCCCTCATCTGTTTTCTTTTAAATAACTATACAATTCTAGGGGCCCTAGGGTAGCTCAGTTAAGTGTCCAATTCTTGGTTTCAGCTCAGGTGATGATCCTGGGATCCTGGGATTGAGCCCCATGTCAGGCTCTGCACTCACTGAGGAGTCCTCTTGAGGATTCTCTCCCTCTGCCCCTCTACCCACTCATGTGCACCATCTCTCTAAAATAAATAAATAAATCTCAATAAATAAATGTACAACTCTTATCTCCATTGTACTTTTTCCTTCATTACAGGATTTTAGTCTATTAGAATACAGCAATTTGTATTCTTTTGCCCCCACTCAAGAGTCTCTTCACCACTCCAAGTATTCAATCTTCCATCCAATACTGTAAGGATCTCCTCATCTTTAGAAATATTCAGAAACTCTCCTTTACCTCTTTAATCTTCACAATCCTAACTCCTCTGCTCAGCCATGTATTCTAGACCTGCGCTATACAGGGCAACTTGCTACTCCTCAGGGATGCCTCAAACTCCCATCTATCAATGCCTTTGAGCCTTGGTTCTGGAGTCAACAAATCTAGTTATTCACTATAGGACTCTATAAAAGTTATTTGATCTCTGACCTTAATTATTTCACACACAAAACTTTTAAAATGATAGCTATATAAAAGAAGGCAGTAAGGATTTGTAAAAACTTATATAAAGTACCTTATATAAAGCAGAAACTGTTTATTTGTTTGTTTATTTATTTATTTATTTATTTATTTATTTATTTATTTATGAGAGACACGGAGAAAGAGAGAGGCAGAGACACAGGCAGAAGGAGAAGCAGGCTCCATGCAGGGAGCCCGATGTGGGACTCAATCCCAGGACTCCAGGATCATGCCCTGGGCAAAGGCAGGCAGATGCTGAGCCACCCAGGGATCCCCCAGAAACTGATTTATCATCATCATGAGTAGTAGTAGGATTCTGCTACACTGAATGCCTTTCTCCTGGGGAATAGTACCAGGGAACAAGATCAAATAAAGATTGTTAAAAGCACCAGCTTTGGAATTAGCAATTGAATTTAAATCTAGCTTTGCTATTAACAGTACAAATCTGGAAAAGTTACTCAATTTCTGTGTCTCAGTTTCCTCATCTGTTAAGTGGGGATAACATACTCATGCAAGGATAAAAAAAAGAGAAATGTTTAGAAATCATTGAGTACTGTCCAGTGGTTTATAAATCATTTAGCTATATCCAGAGGCCATACTTTTATAGTCACTTTATCATTATGGGTCTCTTTAATTAAGAGAAATCAAAGTCTTTCTTATGGAATAAAATCTATTATAACCTTCACATTAAAGTTAAACTTACCCTCTGAATGAAAAGTAAATTGAAAATATAAAGTCAAGCAACCTACCTAAGATCTAACATGAGGCCATTTTATTTAGGATGGCCAAAATCAAATCAAGGTAATTTGAATGTAATTTAAAAAGGCAAAACTAATTATGACTATATAAGAAAACGTATACAGTAGTCCCCCCTTATCGGTGGAGAATATGTTCCAAGACCCTCAGTGGATGCCTGAAACCATGTATAGTACCAAATCCTTCATATACTATGCTTTCTCCTATATGTACATACCTATGATAAAGTTTAACTTACAAATTACGCATAGTAAGATTAACAATAGAAAAATTATACTATAATAAAAGTTGAATATGGTCTCTCAAAATATTGTACTACACTCACCCTCCTTCTGATGATATGAGATGATAAATGCCTACAGGATGAGATGAAGTGAAGTAAAGGATGTAGGTACTGTGACTGACCTTCTGACGATATGTCAGAAGGATAATTGTCTACTTCTGGACCACAGTTGACTAGAACCATGGAAAGCAAAACTGCAGATAAGGCAGTCTTAATGTATTCCCATCACTACAATCTGAATATTCGCAATCTGAAAAAAAAAAACACGCTAGCAGGATGATGACGTATTT